ATGAGCACGCCAAAATACTACCAATAGCTCAAAACAAATTAGAAAAGTGCATTCCTGAGGTCAAAGACAGCACTTTTACACTTAAAATCAATTTCTCAGACTCACTTGGCTTTTTTTTTGAGTTGTAGTGCTTACCGTAAATCCCGCACCTATCCCAGAGTCTGTCAGGAGCCTTTCGATCTCGATAGATGACGAACAGCAAAAATGAGATATATTACATTTGTTGCGTATCCGCCTTTGGAGCTCAACCTCATAGTAAAATTTTGTAGATCAAGGCAAAGCATGACTACTGCATTGCAGAACAGAAAAGAGCACTCCAATTATATACAGTACTTAACTACTAATAAAATGGAAATCAGAAAAAAAGCGCGACTGATTTTGCAATTAACGTAGCATTTAACATTAAAAACGAAAAAGTTTTTAAGAATAGAAAGGATGGTTTCAAATAGTAAACTCAAACCTAGGCCATATATGAAAAGCTTGAGCTAAGACTAACGATGTTCTGTAGTACAGGCGAGTTTAACACCGTTATCAATCATACAAAACACTCATCTGTACAACTAGTCTAACAACATGTAGCGTAAATTAGAAAAATGAGCGGATGGTAACCGTTAATTAAAATCAAGTAAAAAGGCATAAAGTAGACTAATATCGATAGAAATGAAAAATGGTAAAACATAACTTTTCAAGATAAATTTTCAAGTTTCAAGATAAATTTCAGCGTTTATAAAACAAAAGCGGAAATTGATGCTCACTAAAAGATATTTGCTGGTTATTTTTTAATAATAGGTAATGGTCATAAATAGTTATTAAACGTTGAAAACCTATATATTCACCCCATCAGTACAGAACTAGTCGCCAGAACGATCGAATCAAGGCCGGGTTTTCACTTTATGGCGGCGATTGGCAGGATTAATTCATTCGTACTCACTTTGTCAAGCAAATTACAAATAAGTTAATAGTAATCCATTAATTAATTGGAATAATATTCGAGAATAGTGGCCCATAGATACAATAGTAGCTTATTATTGAAAGGAGTAAAAATGTGGATTAATACTTACCGCCATGCGCGTTCTCAGAGCGGGTCTGCTACTTCTATTAACGGCATCAATTTTGTCCTTGTTAAAGGATAGGATTCAGTTTCCATGACAGTGTAACGCTAGCGCGTTTGTGTACTAAAATTAGGGGCATATGGTAATGTTTGTTCAATCTATGTTAGGCTCGTTTTATACTGCGAGCCAGTCTTCTGAAATAATGTTAAATTACATATAATCAAGGCTCCACCTGTATAATAATTGACTGAGCAAACAAGTTAAACGTAGAGGCAAACGATATAGGCAAGTATTACAACCAGTACGTGGTTGGTTGAGAGTTGATACAAAAATAAGCATACCCAAAACAGATGACGCGGATTTAACGCTTTTAGCCTTAGTGTTTCGAGCTAATAGAGTGGTCTACTTTATCCATCCTTCGTGTGAGGATTTTCTATAATTACAAGGTGCCAGGCTTAAATCCGAACCTTGTCAGCCGGTGTCAGCGATTTCACAAATGCGTTCTTCTAAAGCCAGTACTACTAGACAAAAGCGCGTTTCAAGAAGAATGTAAAGAACTTGCAGCGACGGCGAGAACAGTGCGTCGTTATCGGTATTTGAGCAAAGGTCACCTATTACCCAATCTCTTCACACCTGACGCGCCTCCACCGAGATTATAAATTTCCCTTCTTACACAAAACCGATGGTCCATGTTATTGTCAGTTTCCATGTGATTTTCAAAAAAACTCGAAGAAAATGGAAAATTTTTCAATAGGATTTAGACATAAAAAGCTCGAAAATTACCCAAATGTTGCGAAAAGCCTTTTCTGATGTTCTCATTTGAGAACATCAGAAAAGGCTACGTAAATTAGCTGTGTTAGGGAAAGGAGTATTTATTTCTATTTGAGTCAGAAATTACACTTTTTACAAATAAAAAAAAATTAAAATATCTATTTTTATTTAGTTAAGGTCCTAAAAACAATTTATAAGGGAAGTCTAAACTGAAACCTAACGATATCGCGTATATCCAATACGTACTTGTCTCCACCGTACTATCAACAACAAGCGCTGTTTATCATTATGAGCGGTATTACGAGTACAATTTCCATTAACCGCTGTATAATAACACCCAGTCCAAATAATTCTGTGTATATTTTTGGTATATTATGCCTTGACGTTTTCCAGTCCACCTTTCTTTGTCACTAAGTCATCGGTGAACCCGGTGGCGCCAGTCCTTGTCAAATAAAATTTGCATTTAGCTCACTTGGCCTAAAAATCGCTTAGATCTGTGGGCGGATATTTTCAGTCCCATACGATATAGTTGCCGACCCAGATTCACGACAAAGCTATTTACTAAACACTGGTGTGGACTGAACTCGCACTCTTATTCGAAAGCATAACACAAGCGTTTTTTTTTTCTGAAACGACACCGTGAACCACATTCTCAACTTCAGTGGCCCTTTTTAATTGAGATCTATCTCCGCTTACCTTCTATAAATACGTGTGTTGCCATTTCCATATGCTGTTGCTAAAACAAGGTACTATTAATGAAAAAAATACAGTAACAAATATTTGTATTGAGCTATTTCATCTTTGGCCGTCATAGAAACCTTTCCATGTTTGCTTTATTGATAATCGTTAAAAGAGCTGTTAGTTATTACTCTCTTAACGTATTACTTAGAAATGCAGTGGCCTTTGAACTAATTTGAACTGACTTCAAAGTTAACACGTGAGTACTGGCATTTTAAATTATTGAAAACCAATCTGGGCGTCGTAAATATACCTCTATGTGCGTGTGTGTGTGTGTAGACTTGTGTCTCTGTTGTGTAATTTTCGTAAGAAGTGGCAGGGGAGTTATCGCATTAAAAGCTAGAATTTCTACATCAAGTCTCAGCAAAATCAAAATATGTATATTATTATTACTGATTAAAAATCAGTAGCTAATATTTCCTAAAAATGTATGCCTTTAATTTAAAAATAATTCTCAACTAAGTTAGCTACGCTGCCTACGCTTACAGTAATCTATAGAATGGCAATTCAGCGGTGCGTATCTTCTATAAGGAGTGCTGCTAGTAATACTTATTCCGCCAACTTTTTGTTCGTCGGTCAGTGATGATCTGTTACAATAAATAAACAGTTGTGCGCACTAGTTGCTTCGCAGCGGTACTAAACTTGACGGCGACACTCATGTGTCACGTTTGCTCAACCCGAACGCATCGAACAACATCGACAGCAGCAACCCTTACCCGCTAACCCAATTCCCGTAGTGACCCATTTCCTGTGGATCAGTCCAACAAATGATCCAGCCTTTGATTCCACCTAGAACTCTTGTTGCACCTGTTTTGCAATAAATTAAAGCTATATATGTGTATACGTATATGGCATATGTTAACTCGTTTTTATCACTGGAATTTTTCACTGCAAAAGTTTAGTGCTATTGTACAATTTCATTTATGATGTCTTAAGCCTGCAATAATTAATTATGTACCTGTAGATAAACATAGCACAATTATCCTCCAGTGATAGTAGAAAACATGGCCACTTCTCTTAGTGTTTTCACAGTCATTCTCGTCGCCACTGCGACCAGTCTTCAGCTGTTATCGGTGCTAGCAACCTTCTCTGTGCTAGCCAATTGCTATTCCTTGCTCTTGGTTACATAACGTCAACCTGAATCGTAGGCACTACGTAAAAGTTGAAACCATTGGCACGATCATTTGTGTAGTCTATCTACTAACATAAGCATTCGTACAACTATAACTAGTCACTGACTCTTTCCCTCGTACGCGAGCGACTGCTGGCGTCGCGCAGCCCTTGGCAGTTGCATCCAGCTCTATCCGATCATGTGCAATGAGCTTTTCCCACGCTTTTCGCTCTGCATTCGTCTTAGCTCGTCGTCGCTCTGCATTAGCTCTTTGCCTAATAAGCCTCGTAAGCGATACACCGAATTAGCACAGCATGCGTACATGTACCCACCGTCAGCAACAGTCGACATATCGCGATTGTGATGGTTCGTTATTTTGTTTTGTTCTGACGCAAACTAACGCCATCCAACATCGAATGCGGGACAGCTTGTTCTACTACTGCAGGTAATGTAACAAAAGCAGCCGCTATGGCTGTGTAAAGCTTACAACGTCATCCGAACACTCGCCCTTTTCATAGTTATTTAGACACGTATGTGTAATCACCCACCCGTGTCTGAACCACCGCCTGCCACTTTTTACAGGCGCACATCCGTCAAGGGAGCGCTTAACCTGGGCTAGACACCAGTCGCCTTGACCATTGAAAGGTTTATCGACTGACCCAAAAACAACCCGGCGACTCATCAGGCAGCCATAGCGATACATTACATAAAGCCTAAGAATCTATAGGACACAGACGAACGACCTAGCATATGCACAGACATATGCTGACGAAAGCACCTATTTATTGTGGTAGATAAGAATGACATTAAAAATTAAAGCAAAAGGTAGATACGGTTTATGGTGAAAACGAAAAAAATTACGAGGACTAAAAGAATGACACATCTTTTGTACGGGTAAGCCCTCCGGTGCTGATATAAGTACGTTCTGCCAGCGTTAATAATGCACATAATAATAACAGCAGCGGTAGTACTGAATAGCAGCAACCGGAATTCCACAGTTTATTATTATTATTATTATTATAATCATTATTATTATTGTGTGTTGTCCTTTCTTTAATATATATGCATATAATTATTTGTCCCATTTTTAAGTTGCTGGATCAGTTTCTACGTCTGTGTATACCTGTGCTTTTTTGGAAACAATTACTTTCACTGTTATTCAAGTTTTAGTTCATCATTCCGATGATTATTGTAAGTTACTGCAGTTGTTTTTTGCATGGGTCATCTCCACACGAATTACCTATGTGCCTCGTGGATGTTATGATGACTATATTAATAATAATAATAATAATAATATAGTTTCTATCACGGATAATCCTTATGCTCATCTTCACGTATCTTCCTATGTATACCTTGTTACGCTAGTAAACTGTCGAGAACTGGTGAAATCCCATCCGGCAACTTTCCCTCAGTTCAAGTGGCTCCCATATAGCAAATAGCATCGTACTGTTACTACTTCAGGCTTTATAAAGCATCTGTTCATTTCGCAGTCACACACTTCGCATTCAATACAGCTCAATTCAGTTCAATTATTCCGCGGCCTTCGATCTCCTTCGCGTGGTTAATGAACGAGCTTCTCCTTTTACACTAAGCAGTTGTCTTGCGAACTCATTCTTGGCGTATTGGCTTTTAGCGATTCAGCTCGGGACAGAAAGAGAGGGAGTTTGTCATTGTATCGGAGAGGGGGTGTCATCTGCGGCATTAATCGTCAGAACAATGTAATCTCTTTATCCGTGTAACATAAAGTGCTGAGTTGCCATCTGTGTCTGCTGGATAGCTTGAGGTTGACCGTTGACCGTTCTCTTTTTCACGACACCATCCTCAATAATGGTAACTGTTTCTGTACCGTTTTCTACCACCTTGCGGGTTTCGATTTTTTTTCCATTTACGAAACGGGTGTTAGAAGAAGTGCGCCGCATGTTAGGACCTCCTCCGAAGCTGACGCTGCTCGAGGTGAACGTAGTTACACCACCCGCGGTCATAGTGTTCATATCCATCGAGTCAGATGTTAGTTGGCCAAATAGCCCATTGAATCCGCCCATGAGGGGCATGCCAAAGCCCATGGGTAGCATGCCTAGTCCCACACTCATTCCGCCGAAAGGGTTCATCATGAACGGATTCATGCCGAACACATCATCGACCCTTTGCACCCTCTGCGAACTGTACCCATGCGGATCTTGGGCCGACGCAGCATGGACTCCATGCCGCCCCTGTCTACGAGATGCACCACCCTGGCGCCCATTTACGTGTTGAGCAGCTGGGTTTGTGGTAAACAGAAGCGGATCGCCGAAGAGGCCGAAGGGGTCGGAGTTGAACGGGTCATTTTGGAAGAACTCTCTGAACACCTCCTCTGGGTCCCGAAAAACGAACGACGCAAATATGTCGTCGATACCGCCATGGACGCCAGCCGAATACGGGTGATGTCTTGCGCCACCGTACGCATTTGCTCTGGCGGAGGTTCCGTGGCCACCTGCTGTTCCCGTTAGACCTTCCTTGCCGTACTTATCATAAATACGGCGTTTTTTTTCATCTGACAAAACCTCGTAGGCCTCCGAAATGTCCTTGAACCGGCGCTCCGCCTCCTCTTTGTTGTTGGGGTTCTTATCAGGGTGCCACTTGAGGGCCAACTTGCGGTAGGCTCTCTTTACTCCATCTGGCGTAGCATTTCGGTTCAACTCGAGTATGGTGTAAAAATCACGCGATCCCCCTGCTGCATGCTGAGGCATCTTGAATGTTGTTCTTCACTGAGCTAGTTTCTTCGCTATCTGTTAATATAACAATATATCGATGAAGAACAGACAAGAATAAAGTACTTTCTATCCAATTGTATCCAGTAGATACATAAACATCATAGACGAAGCAGGTTTATAATCTAACGATAAACTTCAAAAATATGCTGATGTCACCTTTGCAAATAATCGCCAAATAAGCAGTACACGCCGCCTAAATGAGATGTAGAGTTTGGAAATGAAGTTATTACTGATAACTTATTTCGGTGTGAGCCACACACTAAGGTTTTTCTATTTACTAGACTGCACGTACGCACCTAACGATGTTTCTTGGGTTTTTGTAGTGATGATGCCTGTATGCAACTAACTTGTGTTTTACCTAACGGTCCTGTTGTCAGTTGAAAAATTTTTTGAAAGTTATTGTCCGTGGGGTAAAGCTCCAAGCTGTGATCGTGCTACTAGTTCCGTGTTAATAGCTTGCAATCAGCAAATCCATAAATTGGGAACCTTCAGTACTGATACGAACACCAGTCATCAGTGTATTCTTCCTTCGTCCCTGAGATCACACGAGGAAGCTACTTAGCCGATGCAAAGCAGCCGCTCACTTATATCGTATTCTATAAAACCTTTTTCGCGATGGTTCAGAGCAAAATTTATAGAAAACGATGATGTTTGAGGCAACACAGTTAGCAGCCAGTGCCTGTCTGTTTGTCGGTCAGTTCGTTACCACGAGCACGACGAATTGGTTCGTTTGTCCAACTACAAAGGGTTAGTGAGAATCCCTCCGTCTGTTTCGACGACAATTCAGTTAGTCACTCACTCTCAATCACAGAGTCACCACCAACTAAACAATGGTGATGATGATGATGCTTGCTCGCACGAGTAATGGTGCTAATAGTAATATTACTGACACTTTTTAGCCAGCAGCAGCCACATTAGCAGCTTGCACAGTCAGCTCAGCACGTAGTCGAACACAGTGTGAATTCGTTAACAGACGATCGTACATTTGCAGCAGTCGATCGCTCATACACAAGGACGTAAACGTTACATTTGCGTGTATGACAGCCGTGCTATTGGTCGTGGTCGTCGTGTTGAAGCCAGTAATGGCTAGCTTTCGTTGTAGCCGCCTGCGATCACCGCTGGCTGGTTGCTTCAAGTGAATGCCAGTAACCGCGGTAGGAAGATATACCAGCACTAATCTGACGCTGGCCGATCTGATCCACCTGTATCTATCTGTTGTGAATACGAGCACGAATGACGATGACGGTGATGCTGGCTCTATAGCGATGCGGTCTGCTAACGACCCAGGTCTGCCAGCCTGAAACGTCTAGCTGACGCTCGCTCACGTCCACGCCCGCACACAGTTTCCACTGCTGTTGCTGCTTTTGTTCGTGGAGCAGACCTCCTTTACAAATTTACTTGACTTTATCCGTCACGGTGCCTTTCTTACCCAGATGTTTAACCCAAAAGGTATCGTGGCCAGCGCTGAGGCGAAGAATGCAGTAGCGCTCGAAAGCGAACTAGGAGATAACGCGCTCCGCAAAGAGCGATAACTGGAGGGACATATGGATCTGGTGCAGCTCAGTTTCGGTAGTGGCCGCAATAGTCAAACACAGCACGCGTCTCGATCGCTTACTTAACACAAAACTCTGGCGATCGATCTCAGTTTTGCAACGTTCACCCGCTCCACGGGAGTATCCACCGAACGGAGACACCCCGTATTTCAGAGGCAAAACAATCACGACTTCCTGCTAGTACCGCCTCTATGGATTTCGCGATGTTTCTACGGCGGCCGCTTTTGCCACTGTCGACCCTTTCACTCACTTAATCAACGCGTTCTATCAGCTCCTGTGTCTCAACTGAACAGCGAATAGCGGACAATCGGCGGCTCTGCCTCTACACAGCACCACAAACGGAAGAATACAATATGGCAGTCGTCATATCATGCGACTTGCTGCAACTAGCTACCGCGATCTGCGCTAGTATATCTATATCTAACTGATTAGCAAAGTGAGCTGTGAGGGTTGGTGTCGTGAACGGCAGAACGAGTGGTTTCGATATCCGGCTGCCAGTTGGAGAGAGCCAAAATGGCGAGGGAATAAGCGTTTGTTGCAAGCGGAGAAGTCCGCACTCGTCGATCGTGATCAAAAAGTCAACTGGGGACTACTGCCAGAGTTGTCGATGACAATGTTTTTGGGCCCTGTGCTTTCTCAAAGTAGGCAATCGAAGTAGTCCTTGATACTTCGTCGTTGGCTTGATAAATAGCTCTTCTCATCATGGCATTACATATAGCCCCACCCCACAATGAAACACAGCACTCGCCATTATGCGAACATCGTCAGCCATATATAAGAAAAATATACAAAATACAAGTTTTAATGACGCACTCGAAAACTCATGTTGCAGCACGCACGCGATTATGGTTTTATGCATATTTACATCGTGTGTAGTTTGTCTGCGGAAACAGCGTTTAGAAAACTAGTAAAAACAACACTATCATAGCTAATATCGTAGAACACCGTTGGAAACCTTTCCGGTATCGTTGCAACTGTGAACTTACAGCGTGCTTAGAATCCCTTTAATTGAAACTACGATTCATCTTATTCTACATACGTGTGCTTCACAAAAAAAACTTTTCGATAAATATATACAAAGGGGCAGATTTTCGATACAACATACCTCCAAGTTTCTTTTTTCATCTGTGGATTTATTTCTATGTTAGAAAAACATCGCGATAGCGTTTGCCTGGTCCTCTTGAGGTACAATTTGTTGATATTTACTGGAAAATCGCTTAATCAATACATTCGTTTTGCAGTTTTTCGGCGTCAGCTCTAAGGGGAGGTATCCTTCAATATTTTTGTGGAGTATATACTACCTTGCCTTTTAACGGGTTGACGGTACCTAACGAAGCGATTGGACTTAGTCTGGGGCGATGGAAAATCCACCTCTTGTCATTACCATCATGATAGCAACAAGAACTCAGTCTGAGGCGATGGGAAATCCGCCTCTTGCCATCACCGTCATGATAGCAACAACAACTCAAAGATGCCCCAGATGTGGGACAGCGAATGATTAGGTCAACGCCGAAAAAGAACGAAGACAGAGCACGAGAAATCGAGTAAATGGAGCCTTCAAAACAGGGCATTTAGATATAAATTAAAAAAAGTGTATTAGACGCTATGGAATTGGCATCACATAACCTATACTATTTAACCGCTACACGCCTAACACAGCTGTTATTCTAACTTTAGCTGTACTATATTTAGACACTGCCCCCATAACGGCACGCGGATTTTTCTGTCTATACAGGAAATAGGAGTCATATAATTATTTTGAGCTTAGTGAAGTCCAACGTGAATGATGCTACAAACTTTTTACCATACTGGGGCCCCGCGACGTGTATGTATAGAAAAATCAACTACGTGCACAAAGGTTGTCAAGTAATTTTAGCCTGCGCCAGGCCATCTCAAGAGAATGTTGTTTTAAGACATCCCTTTGGTGTAACAGACATCGAATTAAAAGGACATCTGAATGCTACTGATAGTTGTGATACCAAAGTAGTTATTTGCGCCTATTTGTTCTTCGAAATGTAAGATCGCTATATCCACTAGATTGTATTGAAGTAGTATTGCTTTGGCTGATTCGCATTGGGTTGAACATGAATCAAATCCATTTATTATCTTTAGTTGTATTATAAAGTTACCTAACTGTTTGTATCATGCACAATTAAAAATAACACACAGAAATGTACCTATTTACTACATATTTACCTGAATGTCAGAAAGGAGAGCCCTAATATTTGTACACGCTTTCCATGTTATACGGTTATTACTATTAAGGAAACTCCACTAGCTTATATAACCCTGACGTCGATTCTACATATATAGAAATATCCGTCATCTATTTCTGCTTTAAACAGTCGACATTTCTTCATGTATGCTTGCTTAGTTCCTAAAAAACATTGCTTTCGCATGGTTTCTGTTCTCTCTATTCATAGATCGATAGTCAATCAATACGATTTTTATTATTCGTTTTTGATTCAAATGTTTTCTTCAACGTAAACAAATAAGCTAAGCTTCTACGTTTGGGTATGAAAACATTCATTGCAGAAATTTGTCGAATAACTAATAGAAACAAAATAGCTTACATGAAGTTTTCGTTTAACTGAGATAAACATTTTTCAACAAATGTCGCCTACAAGTTGGATCGTATCGGCACGTTCGGCACGAACAACAGCGATTTACTTTCCATCGCGATGATAGCTTTGTTTGTAATATAATAGTTAACTAGACCTTCTTTTATTTGACCAAATTCCACTATTCATAAAAGCGGCAGCGTTTGCTGAAAAAAATGAAAACATTTAAGTGGTTTGATGAAATATAGCTTGTTTAGTACCACACGCAGGATTTTCCTGCATGAGCTGAAAACATATATACATCATGTGTGTAGTGTTGTACATTAAATTCGTTGCAGGGTATCGGTACCAGTTCTAGGCCCATTATGGCGGAAAACAGCGGAGCGAAAAGCTAATTAAGTTACACCCCCTCAGCAACAGGTTTTTCGTCGGAGTCATCCATGGCTTCATCCGACTCGTGATCTGCGTCAGCCTCTTCGATGTGAACTTTCTCTTTTCGTCGATCCCTTGCACATACGCTCTTGATCAGACAGAGATCGCGTTTGACCTCTTTGAAGTCACGTTCCCGTTCTAGTTTTCGGCCATGTTTCAGTCTGCAATAGCAAAAAACGCCCAATTCATAGTGAGGATTTGTTATTATTATATACCATTATACATAATCGATTAGCATGGTAGTGTCTTGTAAGATTCCTCAAAATTCAGCGCTACTCCAAATAACAGCACGACATAGCAAATAAAGCACTTCCGGTTGGGCGGCTAGACTAATCCACTAATAAATTGTGAAAATACAGTTCTGATATTTTTAATTTGGTATTTTACCAGGTGAGGTTAATTTAGCTTACAATTACTACTACCTTAGAATAAAATCCAAACCTCTGCCACGTATTAGAAATGAAAAAATTTAGTTACACTTTCGTTTGTGATCAGAAAGGTACGTATCACAGACAAAGGCCTTTCTGCATCACATCGGTGGGAACACCAACGGTATATAAACGAAAAAACATGCGGATTTTACAAATAACGTTTACTTTTTGTTATTCCTGTCATGGCAATTTAGTAGACCATCTATCATCTAATAATTACAGTTAATTACAATTCGCAGTAAATGGCACTGAAGATAAAAGATCCATTGTATTTTTACACATACTATAGAAGCAGATCACCAAGTAATTCTGACAAATATTGCCTTTTTACCGTAGTCGTGGCACGATATGACTGCTGCGCTATGAATAAGACTGCAGTACTAATAATACTAGTTTTAACATATGACGCTGATGTTTGTAACTGTGTTCACACAGCAGTTACAGATGAACACATGGAAAAGCGAAAAAAAACACGCTGAATATGTATAGAATTATTCTCCGTAAGCAAACAAGAGAATTCAGCATCTCGTTTGAGTCACGTCGGGCAATCCTTACAGGCAAAAGGTTTACAGCAAAGACTGCGCCGAAGAACTTGAAGTTCAAAAAATACATACCCGTCGGCAACTGTCCCAGGGACGTGCTTAAAAAGGAACCGGAAACGCTCTGACGCGTCACTACAGCTGACCAGACATAAGGCCACAAGTATGACGCAAGGCCAAGAGCATAGTTACCTGAGTATAACTATAATAAAGTTGTGCATTTTTAATTCATGCCAGGTAATGCATCTATCACTAAAAATTACCAGGCAGTTTTCAGAAGATTGCATAATGCTTCCCGCCAAGGTATGCCGGAACCCCATGTAAATTCATCATGGGATTTTCATCGTGATAGTGCACAAGCTCGCATGTTGCAACATGCATCGCATTTTTTTTTTGCAGAAGAGCTCGATGCTTGTCTTGCATTGATTCCCGTATTTACCAAATCTAGCACCTGACAATTTGGGCTTTTCACAAAATCAAAGAAACCTCCGAGGAAATATAGAAAAAAACGAGCTTAGATTTAATATTTCGACAGAGTTTGAAACCTGTTTCAGTAACACCAAAAAAGAATGTCTAGCATGTATCTAATCCGACGGAAGTGTTTCAGAGAAAACGAGTGATATCTGAATAATTGAAATATATGCAGTTGGTACAAAGGCATATTTTCGTTATTTTTTAACACAGTGGTATTTCAACTAAGGAAAAATGCATGTTTTCATGAGAAAATCGTTCTTGACAATGTGGTCTTCCTTCGTTGTTAAAACATTGACATTATTGTAGCACTGGATTGTAAAGGCATATTATTACAACAGCCATTTACTATGCAACACCCATTTACACTTAGAGACCTACAACCGCTCTGGTAGTTTTTAGCATATTTTTCCTGACTACGTATCATTTTACATCCTCATTGAACTTCTTGACTTAACACTTAACAGTATACAGTCACTCCAAGCAACTCTTTGGCGCACGCCAATTGTACTAAGATCAGTGTAGTGCATACTGCTATCGCAGAAACTACAAAAGGCGCCTGATTTGCCACGTTTAGTCTAAAAACAAAATTCAACTCCACCAATCGTTCTGAATAATAGAGTCATTCTAGCTCAACAGAAAAAAATAAATGTCATTATTAAAATCGATCGTAAGAAACTGCGTTGTTGTCACCTTAAGCGTAAAAGGTCGTCCATCACCTCAGCCATCATCTGCTTTTGGCAACAAAACAACAAAATATATATTGGACAAGTAACGATTTCTCAACCATATGTAGAATCCGAAAAGTGATCATTTTTGGGGTTATTCAATCTGACCGTATACACAAGGTAATAAACATCAGAAGTGACATACAAAACCTTATTCACCTTAAACTGAAAAACTAAAAGACCTAAACAATGAGACATACTCTAAGCCTTAATTTATAGAAATAACAAATATACATATAACTAACAGTTATGGCCACATAAAATCCTTTCCATAGAGACATTTTGAGCATATTCGTGTTCGCTAATTTTATCCAAAACTTCAATGAGTTGTATCCATTTATCTAAGCTTTACAGTGACGCAATGATCAGCTGAGACCACATCAAAACCCATCAGGAAGGCGGGTTCAATTGCAATTTAAAACACTTATTAAATGCACCATGAAGAATTTGACGTCTCTATCGCATCGCACCATAAATTTAGGGCTCACGAATTCAACAAGCGAAATGGTACCTTATTTACTAAGATGCGGTTAGTAAAAAAAAAAAAGAAAACAGATATTTTCATCTTGTGATGGCAGGATATCGTGACGCACAAATCCTGCCTCTATTTTAATTTCAAGCCCATCAGTAAACAGCAAGGTTATTTATTCGTCCGCAGGACAAGGATTCGTTGATAATAACAGCCTTAATTCTTAATATATGTACACACCAGCTCATCGATTATGGGAGATCGGTTTCTTTTTGTTTCTCTTAAAGTAATGGTTTTTTTTGTGTATGTAGCTTTCTTATGCAAAACACGAACCAATCCAAAATACAGTAGAGGATATATGACCTGATAGCATAGCGACAAAACCTCAACGGAGCCTCCATTAAGTACCCTAAAAGATGACATTGTAATCAAACGTAAGTTTTCTGTTACTGATATTTTATTTTAGCTGCTAGGAATCCTACAAGTATACTAAGTACAAGTTTACGGCTCTCTTGATCTGAATCCAGTTCATGTCAGAATTTCTTATAGTGTTCAATAAACATGACTTTTTTTTGATAGATATTTATCATATATATATCCCGAAGAACGACGGTCAAAGATTGAGTTAGGGTTACGCATCTAGTATGGTGCCTCTAATTATAAGTGTTACGATCCACAAAACATCGTAATGTGGTCAATTGAAAAAAAAATTTGGTGCTGTCGGGCTGCTCTCGTCCAGGAAAACAGCAGAACCAAGAGCGAAATATGAAGTCCATTTTGGTTTTTCCTTCAAAGCGCTTAGGTATTGCCCTTTTTTCATCTTGAAAAGCCAATATAATAGAAGAATGAGTCTAACGCGTTGAAAAACAACAACCTAAGCAGCAATGTCGGTGTAATAAAAAGACAAAATGTGAACAGTTTCTCGCCATTAGTACGAGGAACCCCTTTTCAATGACGGTTTCATCATCGTTAATATCGTTACCATAGTGGAATATAATAACATTTGCAGCAACCCACACATAAACATTCGAGTGACTTAACACATGCGAAAATCCTCATCTTGGCATTACTCCGACCGACCAATAGATATACATATACGACAGTACGTAACGAAAAAAAAAAAAAACTATTGCGCTCCGTCAACACGTCGCTATCACTGCGAAAAGAAACTTCTAAGAGCGCCAATAGCGACAGCAATGATAGTATTATGATAACCACTGCAAACAGCACAAGCTAAACACACAAAGTCATACACACGTACTGACACCCGCAGGTGGTCAATGGAAATCGCGATGGTAGCGGTGGTATAAACGTGTCAACGGCAGCGGCAACAATAGCTGCAGCAGTTTAATTAGCAGTACTGCGGTAAAAGATTAAGACATTTATCAATAATAACAGCACTCTGTACTACCAGCATCATCGAATCATCATCATGGCTTTTATGTTATTATGACCCCTACTGTCACCGACTGTGCCAATAACCTCGCTTTTCGTTTCAAAAATGGAAGTGTAAGAGTAGCACCGAAGCTCGTTAAGAGGCATCTAAACCGAAAAACAAAGCACCAACTAATAACAGTCTCAGATGCACCCCTGCCTTATTTATGGAGATCGCACGTAAAAATACTACATAGATTGCTTACTTCTCAAAGGAATCTTTACAGATCCGAATATACAGACTTGAACTACACATTTTTGAGCTACGCGATGGTATCCAGAAGAATCTCGCACTGAAAGCTCCTGAACTTGAAATTAACATAAGTATTTTAAGTAAGTTTTGAATAAGTTTAACATGAAATATTTCAAGCATTGTCAAGCAAATTCACGAGATACCTCCCTAAACACCTATCGCCCATATTTCGCATATTCCACTTTAGACTCGAGAACATTTTCCTATATAGCCGTGGTACATTTCACGAGGATAAATACGGAACTCGAGTGAATACTAATAGCACTTTTCAGCTATGGTGGTATTATATTAGCATGACACAAGCTAAAATGACTAAGATTATTTGTAGTTACCGCAAAGGCAAGTGCCTACGCCTTCCTAACGCCACTCAGCGCTTTTCTAATAACAATATCAGTATCAACAACTCCGGTAAAGTCGAATGTTTTTTCTAGTACGTCACAAAAGCAACATCAAAGAGGAGCTATAACAGTAGATGGAGACTCAAAATTAATACTAATTGTTAGTCTAGTAGTTGTTACTGTAGTTATGCCGTATTATAAAAAAACAACTGTTTCTCTCCTCTATCAACTATGGTTTGCTTCTATTACTCCTTTTTCTGGCATAAATGTTTTTTCACCTATTTATAGAATATAACCGCAACTACCAATGGAGTAAAAAATGGAAAAAAAATGGAGATTCGGTACAATTTTTAATTATATGTAGTATTATAGTGTATCAAAAAGCATACCAAGAGGAAACAACGCTCTGCTCTTTTTGAAGAGGGTCAAAGAGAAGGAAAATTACCATAAGCCACCGCAAGGCAGACATATCCTATTATTCTTATTATTACCCATATTTCAGATATTCCTGTATAAACGTTTCATACTTATTATATAAAACGTCTTGACCGCGACAACAAGAAAACCTACAATTGTGACTATTAAAGATGGCTAGAAAAGGAATCACTAATTTTGTATATTTATTTACAGAAAACTGTTCTTCAAGCATACTGTTCAGCACACTTTAGTAATTCCATCACATATACAGTTCATTCAACTCAGTTTCCTCCGCAGCAAACAAGTTATTTAATAAAGAATGCTGACATTTCTGTTCTATCATACCTAAATACCACACCTGTTCCAGTTGCGGCTACCTTACTCTACCCTAAAATTGTGTTCCTAGTAAAACGCAAATTCATGTTCACACTTTTTTTTATTTTATGTTTTCTAACTCTGTTTGTGAGGTACCTCACTCTAAACAGTATATAAGTCTGGTAATTTTAATCGACTGATTGTACATTCTACTGTGGGTGATTACTAACGTGTAGAACGTCTATAAATCGAAGAGATTCACTTCTTAGTATCCACCTCTTGGTCCGAAAACATGGATGTTAGTTCAGTCGAATTATGTTAACCACGTCAAACGATAAGGACAATGAATTCTGAAATTCAAGCTTTAAGAGAGTCGAAACACTTACGAATTCTAAATATGTATACAAGTATTCCAACGAGAGAAACTAGAAATGGTAGTTAAAAAATCCTTTTATTTATACCGAAAGGCATAACAGCAGAATAAAATGCAGTCAGGAAAAAGAACACCATCGCAAAAAAGCAAACGATAGCGAAAAAAAATAATATGGAGCAGAAAATTATTAATAAAATTAAAATACTAAGACACGAAAATTCCTGCTTAAAGCCTTCATTTAAAAAAGTATGGGCACTTCGGAATATATAAGAACCATCAAGCCTGCAGATGGCTCACAGCCGAAAGCTCGCTGAGCTCACATTCGCATGGCTTTGTTTTGATAGCTCAAAGATATTTTGCAACATAAAATAGAAGACGAAAACATATGTTCCTTAACGTGGTTGGCATGCAGTATACAAAACAAAGGGTAAAACCTCCATGTTAATTTATCATTAACATCCGTTACCTAAAACTGCCAACAACTCCTAGTTGCATTTGCCACACGACACAGTCTTATTAATTTGTGCGCCATGCAGCTTTAAAAAGGAACTACTTTTAGCATGGATTAGCTCGAACCACATTCTGGCGAAACACGTACCAACTGTTCGGTTTGTGAATTTCGATTCTATGTATCTATTGATGAAGTGCTGGCAAAGAATACCGCTAAATTTTAAACGTGAAAAACGTGGAGCAGGTATCTTGTATGATTGAAGGTGAAAAATGTACATACCCAAGAACTAAAATAATGGGGTATCATCGGTTAGAACGCTTTCTATCACTACATTGTTTGCCATCGTCAAATATCAACTAATGGGAGTGCATCTATGACTTGACAATTCGCAGAGCTATCACTAACAAACTGTATTATGTGTTTAATAAATACTTGTCTCTTTCTGTAACAAAAACCTTAGATTTTGGGTCAGTTTGATGATATAATACATAATACATTTTATCCCATATACGAAGGGTGTACATCACCAAGAAATCGGTAGTGATAAATATCCGGATAAACGGAAACTTCTAATTCAACAGGTGTTATTAACGTTGCAACAATCGCTCTATTTAACAGATAATTCAGAATAAAAAAATGGTCCATAAAATGTCCAGTCTGGTGGATAGCCATTTTTGCACAATAGTCCGTCTCTACTTAGAATTAATACTCTAAGACACGAGATACCATAGTGCCGCATCGGGATATGCGCTTGACATATTCGTAGCTACTAGTCATATCTGTACGCGTCAAGACAGAGACATTCGACCTTGACGGACTTCTCAAGCATGGGGCGATCAACATATAAATTGCTGTTGTGACAGCGAAACCGGAAGAATAGGCACCTGTAGCAGGAAACTCGTAATACGCTATTCTGTAATAGCTGCCTAGACCTTTGGCTTATAAACCAACTACTACGGGCGACCATATTACTCACATACATAGCAGAAATAATAAGTATGGCGGGCGAAATAAAAAAAATTGCATAGTCTTAAACAACAGCAACATTTAAATTTACCTGCGTTCTCAATGGTAAGTTATGATAAGTACGTGAGGCAAAATACATTAGCAAGCTTTACTAGCTCTAGACAACCATTGCTTATAGTTTTACTCGAAATGGCCGTAATAAAAGCAAATATGTGGCGCAGGCTTGCACGAATGGCTGAAAATGCTGATACTATGTGGATGGCTCCAAGAACATATAATTAGCTCCAACATCGCTCAGCTAGCGGCACCAAAATTGGTTTCGGTACACAAGAGCATCGACAGCCCAAACATCATTTCCAGCTATACTCATCAGTTAAAGAAATGTCCGTTATTATTGTTGCTTTTTGTTGTTAGATAGACTGGTTGTCTTGTTGTTATTGTTTGATGATGAATAATCAGCCGACTGTTGGGCTAACTGATTTAAATGATCTGCGTCCGTGAGAGTCGCAGCTGTTGACGGTCATCCTCTTAGTGGTGATGGTCCTACGCCGACGTTGCAATGACTGACTAGCAATAAAAACAGCAGCAGAATTTGACGTGGTCGTGGTCGTCATAATACGCAAATGAGTATGATGATAGTACTTATACTCTACAGACCTCTTCTGTCGATCATGATGCTGATGTTGGTGCTCTTGATAGCTGTGGTGGCAACAGTGTCATGAACGCCACCGAACCTGTCTATTTGGCTTTTATCTCCATGTACGTTAGCGTTAGAGCACTGTTTTGCTGCATGTATTATCAATTAGTCAAATCTTTAGAACTAGATTGGACTGCGTAATATATTGGGACAAGAATAAGGATGGACAACCGCGGTGAAGGATTATTTGATAGTTCTTCGCGGAGCGTCGCCGCATTCAGCTCCGGGTAGTTATGCTCTCACATATGTGCTAGTAGGTGTCCAGGTGTACTTTAACGCGACCGAAACTTCTCAACTCAACAATTTTCACATTTTTTATTAATGATACTGTACGGCACTGCCGCTACACTCGGTTCAATCCCTCTGGCAGGCCGAAATTAGACAGAACCAACCATAAAATAATACCATCAACGCTAGCTCAACGCCACCATCTGCCACAATCTCAGCACTTTAATGTAAAGTCTCTACTACGTCGGATACAATGGGATTAAAACTCGCCGCACTAGCGGTAATTAACAGACCTGTTAGCCAACAAATCAGCACCAAAAATAGGATGATCAGGTAGTTATGTTAGATGTATGCCATTACCTTCTAATTGTCGATGAGCAAAATATAGATAAAGATACAATTTATTCATAACTATAATAACAATAATGGAACTTTTGGATGATGTATGGAAACTAGCTATATTTGCGTAGCCTATTTCAAGCACATTCGCAATCAGGCACTACGGTGAATTTCAAACAAGACAGTCGACATAACTATTTAACTTTTAGGCAAAAGCTATAAAGCCAAGCGTAATTAAACCCCTTTACAGTTGAAAAACTGAACCAAGTTTTTTAGAAGGAATTACACAATTTAACCTTAGTGAGCTGTCTCGCAAAAAGAGCACAAACTAGTAGAAATGGGTACGACCATCGTGTAACAGATTGCGACTTAAACTAAATAACTGCTGCACTTTTAAATCATATCAAAATGTGTTATAAAGCAAATAATACATGCACTATGGTTGCACATTGCTCATTAGATAACACCGTCGGGGAATGCATCTTTTTCGGCGGGTCACTGTGATTTTTGTTTCGCTCTTTCCCAGCTTTTTTCATGAAATTTTTCGGGTTTATTTAGGGAATTTTTTTAAATGTACTAACCTGTTCATGATGAAATGAGCCTCACGCTTTTTGCGGATCTCCATGATCTTCTCCATTGCATTCATGGCATTCTTCCATAAGTCTCTATCATATCTGACTGGACAATTTCGTCGCTTTTCCAATTCGAATACAGGATCAACGATGAGTTCCTTGCCATGGGTCTTTCGCCAGGCTTTGGTCCAACGTAGTTTACGTGGGTTCTTTTTACGTTTGAACATTCGATGGCATTTTGAGCGGCAGAATTTGAAGATCTATCACAGGTGTATAAGGATAATAAATAGAACAGAAAGGCACAAAGGCAAGGAAATATTGACATTCCGTACTATTACAAATAACGAATGTCTTGTACAGAATACACTACATTAAATTGTTATAGAATACTTTGTTACACTAAACATTTGTTTAGTGTAATGAGTACGGCTAAAAGTTGTCGCAGTCATACTATACAATGTAAACGGAAGGGATATCTTCTTTTCTAGCTGGCTACTTGGTACATATATTCTTTCCATATTTGGCATGAACATTACAATATTATAAGTTCCAGTTTTTGCCTATAAATTGAATTATAAGTTAAATTTGCACGCACTTCTGTATCAAAAAACATTCGAAACATATTCGTAAAATAAATGTATCGAAAATGCTATGTGCGTTATAAGTAGACGTTATCCACTAAAGCAAAAAAAAAAGTTTATCGGAGTCTCATTGACATGTACGACAATAAAGGTTATTACTCCGCACTAAAAAGCAAATGTTGTCAAATGTATCGTCGACGTATAACAGCTCAATTAAAAAGCTTTTTTCCGATATGTAATATATTTGTAATAAAAGCAGAACTTAATTTCGGAAATAGAGTTTTGTTACTATTCACGAAAAACAGAACAAAGAAACCTTTTATTAAAACATAACTTTATTGACTGTCCGCGGGTCCTTTCCTAGCGAATATAAGCCAACACAGTTATAGGTATGGGTCAATTTTATCTCAGCTCTCAATCAAGTGTCTCTGTATACCGAATGTCAATGAAGCTTAGCAGGATACGTCACGAATTGCTTGCATTATGTAGAGAATGCAAAGCGTTTGACTGTTCCAGTTAGAATCACTTGATGTAGAATAAAGTCAAATATGATGGTTAATAATCAGATGATTAAATTATATGAGGTAATGATTAGATCGTAGTTGCGAATATATAATAAAAATATATGTCTACTTATTCTTCTGTATTTAGCTTCAATAGCTAACAAAACTTTATTCATACTGTCGCAGTCATCCTAATTTTTTGTAACTGTGTTAGTGTTTTGAACATAAACAAGTTGGTGTCTCTGTATGTTTGGGGTTTGGGGGAAGTAGCTTAAAGCTACGCACGTTCTCGGAAACTTTGCACAGCAGCAAAGAAAAAACTTGCTTCCAATGTCTCTTTTACTAAGATTAAAACTCTTTCAGTAACGGCTACAGTTAGCATATGTATCAAGAGCCTGTATTTATCAACGATATTTGTGCCAGTATCTGTCAGCAAAAAAAAGGAGACTCTTACAACACACGTACTCACCGAAAGCAGAACCTAAATTAATAGAACCTTACACTGGAAAATTAAACTGTCATAGCTCATATTGAGGCATTGTCTTCGGTTAATAAATTCATAGTATCATTACATGTGGCCTTTTATTTCTAGAAAAGCTTTTTTAATTAATTTCGTTTTTATCAAATATAGCCCATGGTTTAGTTAAAATGTTTGACTGTTTCTAATACTACGGCATGTGTGCCAAGTTACAGCACCACGGAATACATATATGTGTTCGGACGCTTGTTCTTAACGATGTCGTAGAAGCAGGGCGGGCACTACACCATTGCCTACGAAGCAAAGAATGACTACATCTATCCGAAAATTACATAGGCAGTAGACACTCCACACACCATCATACGGGACATTCCGGTCTGGATGTATTGATGTGTGTCACATCAATCGGCATATCCATTTACCCGTGCGTATATCTATCCACAACAGAGTCTACTATGTGGCACGACCAAAATGCTTTTTTGATTTATTGACCCCCTGTCAATTAGGCATTACTATTCTCCTTCTCGCCTTTTAACCTTACCTTTGACTTCAGGCTTTATATTTGTATTCTAGCTGTTTTGGTTAAACAAACGACAACAATCACTATCGATTAGTTTTAAATTTGTGATTCTTTACTACCTAAGTCACGTGGCTGTTGCCACTCGATATGCGTATAACGATTTTGCTATCCTACCAGGGAACTGTAATATTGTAACCGCTTATTTACAGAGGACATTTTCGGCATATCATAAAATCACTACGAAATGTTTCTTGCGTTATTTTGAAACGTACACATTTCTCAAAAGATTAGGTCACAGGAGGCCATTGCTTCTTTGCAATGTTTTTTTTTTTAAAAAGAGTAGAACTGGCACTACTAGAAGAGTAAATGTTAGTCGATGGATACCATAAAGTCTAAGTCTTTCATTTTAGTCGAAAGCTTTCCCATACTGCTAAATTAGTTTATCAGTTGTCGAATTTAATGAGACCACTCGTTGACCTGATTTTTTGATAAATTGTGCCCCCTCTGCAGAGGAAGCACCTTTGGCTTCCGAAAAGCCCCGACCTTTTCCTTTTAAACTTTTAAATGAATCTGACGTGATTGCCAGGACTTCTCAAGGCCTATTGACAAGTCTTTTGTATATTTAGGCAGGATCAACTTTTAGCAAAAACTTACGCATGATTTGAAAAAAACATCAAAAATGATTGAAACCAATAGCAGTTATATACGATAAAATAGTTCGTCCAAAATGTTTCTACCCAATTATTACTCTAAAAATTAGTGTTTTTCTATTCTTATGTTTACCTGGCGTACCCTTCTTACGAAAAAAAAATCGCGCTTTTTTTGACTCACTATTTAAGGAAATTAATCGATATGTAACAGTAGCGCCAGTTCCTCAACAGCTAGTTCTAAGCAATTCTGACATCCCAGTGTAATGGAAAAAAAATCATGATACTACATTATGATATATCATATAATAACAGCCATGCTGACGGTTTACACTCTGTGTTAGGTTGTCTCGTCTACGAGTTGACTATCAAAATTAAAAAAAAAGTCGCCCTCAGGTTTCAACGTACACCTAGATTTTAGAAGTAAAATATTATTGAGAAATACATCCATTGTTAAATGAGTTCTCAGGTATGCCCTGTAATAAAATAAAAATTTTGGATATTCCTTTTCAAAGTTTGCTCTAGTGATTTTTTTGCTTTAATTGAACTCAACTGACGTCAGGCAAAGCACTAAAAGTACGATCTGCTACATACCTTACAGTCATTTCTAACAAAGTTTACTCCATGACCAGGATATATCGGCCCAGAACAAAAGTAGCACCTCTCAATACGCATTGTTCCACATTAAGCATAACTTGATTACCGCCGAACAATGCACTCGTGAAACTTCCGCACGAGGTTATCTTTCTGCAGTTGGTTGTTGGAGATCGTCTGCGTGTTGACAAATACAAAACAAATCGATCCCTCTGTGGTACTTTTGATTACCGGGTCTCTGTGGGAACTGGGAATCCTTTCAATTAAATCTCATAGATGTTTAGTTTAAGTCTTACGTAGGCATTTAGTGTTTCGTGTTATGAAAGAGATAGAACGAATTACTTGAAAGAATTTAATCGCTTTAGCGCTAGCTGACTAAGATCGTGCTATGTTTTCATTCGAGTGTGGTACGTTTTGTGATTCGCCGCTATAGTGGCCAATGGGTAGAGAGCAGAACTCCCTATGATCAGACGCAGCAGATATTGTGATGTTCGTTGGGTCGGTTTTTAGCTCATTAATTGGTTGGGTGGGCTACTGCTAATGCTCCTTCTTCGTTTATCCAATAGTAACAGTCGTCCTCCGATATATACAAAACCGACACATACGAAAGCTACAAGATTTTCGTTTGCCATTGCATGTGATTGCTGTGGGTTGTTTTGTGGTGAAATGTTGCTAGTGGGTTTTCGGTGAGCGTAGAAGGTCCCGCTCACCGACATGAGCCCGACGGAGCCTGTTCAGGTCAGTGATAAGATGTGAGGGAAGATTTGCGCAGATCGGATGGTCAACGAAACATGTAGTTTGTCGGGACATTAAGGGCCAATGTCCAAGTATGATGTCGGTGATTGTGTATCTGTACAGAATCATCTAAACCCACACGGAGTCCTAACAATAATAGTGTGCAGCAGAGTGTTAGAATAGGTAACCATTGTCCCATAATGCGATAAGCAAGGGTGCTGTCGTAACCAAAAGTTGGAGCAATTGCGCTGCAGATTAAAAATCTCGACAGGATCAGATCGACTGATGGTAGATTTTATATTAGAATAGTTAGATTTTGTATCTTGTTGTTAGAAGAGATTACATATGGCTGTTGGCAATTTACTTGACGAATAGTATGTTTTACTCGAAAGGCATTCACTAACGTGTTTTTAGACCAAATCAGTACAATGGAGCAAAGTTATCCTGATTCACCTAAAAAGAGAAACGATTTATGGGTAGAACGATGGCAGAAATGGACGAAAGGGAGAACTGAGGTGTACTTCTCAACAAAAAAATACAAATAAGTCTTTTTGGGATAAGAACAAAATAATAAGGAATTTTCACAGAGTTCTGTTAGATACAGCTTAAATGCATATCTTGAATATTGGATGTAAGTGGTCGATCGTTATGCGAAAAATATGATTCCGTCTGATACATTTAATCTATTGCCTGATAGACAAGTGTTGAATCAATTCTGTGATAACGATTGTGTATTCTATCATTGTACATATTTTTTTAGATAGTTGCAATTGCAATATTTTCAACGAAGCAACGTTAAAATTGTTTATAGGTGAAACAAAAGAATCTCGTCGAATGAAGGGTATTTGGCTAAGTGCGTTTGCCTACCTTTGTAATAATGGACATATTTCAGTATTTTCAGTGATGATTATTCACTCAACTATTGTAAACATACTATGACCCTCTTGCGCATTGGAACAATAATGTCAATGAGCTCAGTTGTTTGTGATTAAAAATCTTATTCAATTTTTAGCAAATCAGAACGTAATTTGTGCGTATTTAAATATTTGTTTTTTCATTAGGTTGATAATTACTGGTATGGGTTAGCTGATATTGTCTTCTGCAAATGCTGTCTATAAATGCAATTGTTCCACGTTAAGTTTAAAAATCCGCAAAGTAGCTGGCTAATCTAGTGAATCTACTTATCAAGTTTAATAGCAAGGATTGCTCATAAGCAAGAAGTGCAAAAATCGATTGACGGTTATTATACCGTGCATTTCTGTGCCAGCTTTTCTTGCAGATTAAGTGTCTTCCGTACAAGGATTGAAATTACTTCCTGACAACCATGTATCCATGGTACCTTTTCATGCGCAAATTTCGTTATAGTTTACGAATAAATCGTTTCTTTAATAATTGACTTGAACAGATTGTTTATTTTTTTAAGAACGTGAAACCTGAATTAGTGTTTACAAAAAAGTAACATGCATTTGTTGCTTAGAAGGCTTCATGTTTGCGAAATCTAATAGGCTATTTTATATTACGAAGACTTAGTTTACCTATCACAGTTTACCTTGAGGTGCCTGGACTCTTGATAATCTTAGAAAGCTTTGGCGAGCCACACTGCGCGTAAATATTACTGGTTACCTAAAAATTATTTAGGTTACTATTTGAGATGAGAAGTAAGAATACCTATTTGACATGAAATATTAAATTGGGTTGACTTTTATAAGTTGTAGCAAAGTACTAAAAGAAATTTTTATTTGTGCAACATAAAGTATCTATGATAATAGAGAGAATAAAAATGATAAGATTTTTGTTATTTGCTAGGTTATGCACAGATTGCTGTAGGTGTCTTAATAAAAACTGCATAAAAGCTATTAAAGAGGTCGACGTGCCGAACTAGAAACTTCTCTGTATGTGGCTAATGTGTGTGAAAAAGATATATCTAATAAATCTAATTTCTATTTACCTACAGCCTTGCGAGGTCTCCATGGTGCCAGTACTGCTATTAGAATTAAATGAAATATGTATAAAGTAAAAGAAGTTCATCTACACTTAAGTATAATTAAGTACATATCTGACCGCGACTAATAATTTTAATAGTTAATTCTATTGATCCATCATAATGCTACTATTTCTACGTAGACAAAAGTATTAAAAACACTCTTTCCTAAGTTACCCTAAACTAATTCATTGGACATCAAACTATTAAGAACTGCTTTCGTAACGTTGAACAACATGTATGAGGCTAAACTTGGGTTTCAGAAGTGAAGTAAATGATCCGTTATTTGAAATTATTGATTATGCACTCATTACAAATCAGTGATGTAGAACGTTATATCGGCATAATATACGAGAATAATCAACGTTATCGCTGATTTTTTTTATCTTAATAGGCGGCCATTTGGCAATGCCTGAATCAGCACAAATTAGACGACGCTATTTTCCTGTCGGAGAGATTACATGCAGAACTTCACTCCGACGAGTCACTATTTCTACTTGGAACGTCATACTACAGGGCGGGGCGCCTCAAGGCCACGAAAATTTTGCTTAACGGTAAGTTCATTAGCTTTTATAGCTCATGTTGTTATCTTTTATATATTCAATTAATTGGTTAGGAATAATATATTTATTTATAGCTGTTAATATGTTTAATCCTAATTTAATGCATTGATGCGCTTTTTAGAGCTCAATAAGTGATGGGAATAATAATTATGGACCTAAATGTTGCATGTTTTTAGGAAGTAAATAAAAAGGTGCAGAAAGATAATTTACGGTAACGCTGTTATTGTAAAATTCGATATTTTTAGAGTCAAGCCATCCGCAATGTCGTTACTTATTAGCTCGGTGCTGTTTGGAGCTAAATGACCTCGTGAAGGCCGAGCAAGCCCTAACAGGCAGTGTGCCTTTCACCACGGATCAAGATGTTGTGGAAAATGTCTGCAAGGTTGGAACACCTCTCTAGATCGTTACGTTTACGTTGCCATTTTTTTTGTTTTATTATTATTATTATTTTGCTGTATATAAGTTGTGCGTACAGGTTACAGGCATGCGAAAAACGAATCTCTAGATATTCAAAAACATTTAAAATGGGCTGCTGGGATTTCCCTTTATTCAGACACAATATGCTGTACGTGCCTTCTATAAAAACACTGATTGAGTTTATGCTTGTTATTTACTCAGGTTTTCGGAGATAACGCGTCATTTGCCTTGAGTCTTCTGGGCGAAATATACGCAAGCACACGGCGAACCACACGAGCCGTCGAGGCCTACCAGGCATGTCTGAGGCTCAATCCAACTCTGTGGTCAGCGTTCGAAGCGTTAGTCGGGCTCGGCCTTCGACCGGATCCGGCGCGGTTGTTCTCACTTGGGAATAACGATCTCGTTCTGAATAGCCTTGTGTCAACTCCGTCAACAGCCCACTCTCCTGTGGCGGCAGCTACGCCAGCCGGTTGGGCGATCCATAATCATGGAACGAACTGCGGAAGTAACGTCTTACATTGCAAAGACAATGTCAACTCATCAACCACAAACACCACAGCCCAAGCCGGCGGCGGCGGGCATTCTATCAGCCATATCCACAGAGATAGCAACACTGACTCTACCGTCGACCTCAATGTGAGTGCCTGTATACTTGAATATAAATACGAATTGAAGTTAGTATTTTGATTTCTGACTAAACAATGATCAAATGGTAGTAAAATTGGTAACCAGCTAAAATCTTTTTCGATTTCCACAGCATTAGCAAAAACCAGTCCAATCTTCTCATACTACAATAGCTGATTTACTCGATCATGTTTACTGATGGCGGTTGTGTTGTACCTTTCTAAATTCTCTTCTCAGATTTGTTAAAGCGTCACAATAGCAAAACTGTATCTTTCGTTTTGCAGTCAACTGTGATAACAACAAGTGGCGACATGTCTGGCGTTAAGGAGTTTACTCCAGATCCTTCTGGTACGTCTGGAGGACTTAGCCTGGGGATGGGTGGAGGTGTCGTTTTAATTAATCCCCAGACACCTCTCATACATTCTGCAGCTCCCACGCCAATACGGGCAACACGGCTGCATCATGGCGAGACGAGAGGACATCATCACGTTACACCTGCTACACCAATGTTAGTATTGGTTTCATATCCTAGCCAAAGAAATATGTCGGGGCAAGGTAGAAGTTAGGCTTACAGTTATGGAAAAAACATAGGCTAATAGTTGGGGCTGACGTTGAAAGCAGGTAGGTTAACATATGTTAGTATGCAAAGAATGTATATATTATATGGTGCGCGAATGTTTTGTGAATTAATCACCTTAGAATGATGGGTCCACAATTCTTATTTTTCATAATTATAATCACAGCATGACAGGAAATGGTTCTGTAGAGTTTCGTGTCACTATTGATCTATTGATATGGTTCATAGATTAATGTGCTTATATGGTTAGATTTTAGTATATAGTATTTTCAGATGAGATTATCCATTGAAAATCTTTTTTTAAAACGGGACTTGTTGTTTCTTAGGCACAACACCATATGTCGCTCTTAGACCTACAAAAAACACTGTACATACAGTTACATACAGAATGAAGAAGGTCCACTTGTTCACAGTTGTTACAAGAACGGAAGCTTAAAATAAACACAGCAAGCTTAAAATAAATACAGCATGGCAACTTAATTTGACAGAAGCGTCGCGACGTATATGTATCATTGTAACTAAGCCTCGATGTCGCCCAAGCTAAAATCATTATAATGGCTAAAGAATATTTACGACCATTCATTCGATTGTGGTTACCCAGTTTGATGACGCCATCACTGCGAATAGTGTCACGTTCAAATAACTGCCACCTGCACTCGCTTCTTTGCATCTAAATAATTGTAAGCTTGTATTTTCTGATACCATAAGTCTAATTTTAATACCCATCCATTATATATGCTATTATATAATATACTATTTCATAGTATAATGTAGCCGCATCACGTTCCGATTTTATTTTCTCTACCCACACGGAGTCATTGGATTTTCTAGCTACCTAAAATTGGATTCATTAACGATCGTATGTCCAGAGAAATCACCTTTAAGATAGTCATTTAATGAGACCAAGATGTTTGGAACAATCTTTACAATAACCTGAAAAATAGACCCGACACAAAGACATATAATTTGAATTCACCTATATCAAATATTTTCTTTAATCTAAAAGAAAGTCTCTTATTAGAATGGGATTTACAAAACTAGAAGAATACAAGTGAGATTTATATTTCGATCTGTCTAATATTGAAAAAGTCAGATCTTTGTTACCTTTTTGCAGATTGTTCTTAAACAAGAAGGCAACACGTTATGTGATATTTAAGTTGATTCATTGCTATGAATTAGGTTCGGAAGTATGCAGCCGGTGTCTCAATTGGTGTTTACCAGTCCGGAGGCGATGGGACCTCCAGGAACGCCATTCGTTGTTCCCACGCAAGGTGACCGAGCCCCCTCAGTGCAAACCCCTGATGTAGGCGAGGTGGCTCCATTAAAACGAACCAAGAAAATTAATCAATTCTTTGGGCAGAGCACCAGTAATAACAATGCACAGACTCCGTAAGTTGAAAACTACAGACGTAACACTATTATTAACTTGATATACCAAGCCAGGTAATTTTTGCATAGCGCGAAGTAGTTTATTTGTACTTCGGTAACACTAATTTTTGTAATTATAATTTATATTCCTGGACCATGTAGGATTTATTTTGAAAATATCTTATTGTGAAAAAAAGATATTATACCATGTCTTGCGTTATGTAATTTGGTGTGTATGTGGGCTTTTACTTTGCTAAAAATCTGTCAAAGTGAATTTTCTTTAAAGGACAGAAATCTCATCAAGTCATTATTTTTTGCAGAACTAATACGAATCCACTGACTCCCCGTCGATCGACGCGACTGTTTACGTCTAATTCGATCAAAGAAAATACAACAAAAACAGCTACATCCCCAAGAAGTGCCCGTATCTTGCTCTCATCCAATCGAACACCAAGCAAAAAATCTAAATCACCTGCGCCTGCTTCCGAAAAAACTAAAAGCTCTCCGGAACCTATTGGAAACATGGTCGAAGAGCTGAACAAGGCTAACGACGCTCTAACCCTGCAGCTGAGCGTAACTCAAATGCAAAGAAGCTCTCTCAATGGGCTGATGCAACTTCTACAGGTATAAATGTCGAACGTAACTTATAAATTCGTACCTGTGGCATATTAAATACATTAGTTAAGGTATCAAAAATTCATCACCAAATTAAGGACCCCTTTCGTTAAGGAAAACACGATTCCGGCTGAAGGGAAATCCAATTTGTAAAATCTGGTTGTATGGTACGAGTGATTGCCGTATGTTAATTCTGTTCACTGCACCCAGATTGTAGATGCAACTTTCAACTTTTCTTGTATTTGGCCTGCGACAATTTTAGCTTGGCAGTTACTTTCAAAAACGTCACGGAAAGCTTGAATAGGTATATAGATGTTTCTATTCTTTAAAAAGGGATACAAGATACTCAATATTCGATTCAATTTTGTTTTATTAATTTCAGTCTCTGGCTCGTGCTTTTCTTCAGCTGGGTGATTTTCGATGCCGTGCTGCCGTTTCGTCGTTAACGAGTTTACCTCCACACCAGTTCGAGACAGGTTACGTCCTTTCGTTACTGGGTCAAGCATATTTTGAACTGCGTGACTATGAACGCTGTAACGAAACGTTTGAACATATGATGAAATTGTTCCCCTTTCACCTTAATGGGCTCGAACTCTATTCAAGTTCATTATGGCATAAAATGGCGGAAAAGAAGCTCAGCTACCTCGCGCAGACGTTGGTTGAACTTGAACCAAATGCGCCTCAAACGTTGTGTGCATTAGGTGAGATAATACACAAACGCGAACATCTAAACTGACTTGTCGCTAATGGGAAATATTTGATAGCTGACAACAATGTGCGCGCTGGCACTAAGCGTGCTTCGCAAGCACGTGCAGTGAGTTAAAGTACGCATTACGTACTTGATAGTGATGAGGTGACCCGATTAAACAAATTGCTTTACCATTTATTTGCCCGCTTAAGATTGTTTTATTTATCGTAACCCCCGATTCTTACTTGTGACATGATGTGATCCTATAATTAAACATACATAATAAATATATTTAACATAGATTTATTTCTGTTCCAATATTGTTATGGATAGGAAATATAGGTTTTGTTAATTGAATACTTACATTTTCAGGAAATTGTTTTTCACGTCAGAAATTACATAGCCAAGCTGTTGAGCAGTTAGAGAAGGCATGCCGGTTGCATCCTCGGTTCCAGTATGCATTCACATTGCTAGGACATGAATATGCGAACAATGAGGAACTTGAAAAGGCCATGCAAGTTTACCGAAGAGCCTTAGCTGTAAATGCAAATTCTTATCTCGTTTGGAGCGGACTTGCCAGCGTCTATATGAAGCAAGTTAGTGCCTGGCTGGATCAGCACGTTCCAATCATATTGAACTGGATCTAATTTTAACCAACGTTCCATTAACCGTAGCAAAGATGGTAGCTGCCAATATTTGTAGTGGACTAAGTTCTGGTTATACATTACACATTTATTACATCTCTTAATAGAATACTAACAAATTCTACTGGTAGAATCTAACATTTAAGGCTGTTGCATGGTTGCTTGTTAAAATATTCAGGAACAGTATTCAATTAGCGAAGGCCATTGGCGAAAGGCGATCCAGCTTAACCCCGAGAACCCAACTCTGCTGGTACATCTCGGAGTCGCTCTTCATCAGCAGAGCAAATCCGCCGAGGCTGTACGCGTACTCTCCCGAGCAATTCACCTAGAACCTAAGTTCGCCTTAGCTAAGTTTCACCGAGCCACTTCATATTTAGCCATGGACAAGTAAGTACCTAGTTATCTAACTATAAAAAGGAAGTCAGAACAAAGCGCTACCAATACAATGTTCACGACTATGTTTTAATATTGAATTATGTGGGGAGACACTAGTCTTAATTGGCTGCGACCGATTGTGACACAGCTTTTTTAATGCGTTCTTTACATAATAATCATTAACTGCACCGTGATCATCGTCACACAAAGCGCATAATATGTACATCATCTTATAATAATTTCAAGTTCTATCTTCCTACTACTCAAGGTACAGCGCTCCACGCATGTACAAAACGTTTTCGTGGCGGTTCAAGGGAAACTTCTCTTCATACAAATTTTGGAAACACGTGTGAGCAGGTAGACTTTCTGGTAGAGCAGGCAGAGACAGGTAGAGCAAATAGTTTGTTTCTGCGGTAAAGCTTAATAGTCGTAATGGACAGAACTCAAGACGTTTGTGTAAACAGAAAACTGTGGACATATGAAACTAATGATAGGTTAAATTGCTGTACTTTTTCCTTCAAATATCTCATTTTATTCGATAGGTGCCAGGAGGCGTTAAGCGATCTACACGAGCTGCGAACAATCGCCCCTCATGAGTCAATGGTTTATTATCTCCTTGGTAAGGTGTACAAGAAGCTTGGAAAAGAGCACCTGGCGCTTATGAACCTTTCAAGAGCCACAGATATGGACCCAAGGGGTGTGTACACCCAGATCAAGGAGTCGCTCGACCCAGTCCGGGAAAGCGGAGCTGGCGGTCGCACAGACCAATCGGAAGGTGGTGGCAGTATTAGTCCGGGCCAGACAAGTACCCCAATTAGCGGGTCTGGCGGCCAAATTGGGGGAGGCCATGTAGAAGGTCCTGGTCATCACTCAGCGGCCACCCCGCAGGGCCACACCCATAGCAGGCATCCTCACTCGCCTGGTGAGTGAGTCCTATCGGAAAAAGTATTCATTTTTCTACATCGACGTTAATCTGTTGTACTGCAGTGTCATGTAGTTTTTATATGTTGATTGGAAACATTCTATTGACGTGCCGTATTTTATCTTTATTCTAGATTTGGCTCGTGAGTTTGCCTTGCGTGGAGCAGATTCTATGATCGCTGCTGAGTCCGAACTAAATATGGAGAGCGACGACAGTTTCTAGAGAAGGATCCGTCGGCAGTGAGCGGTGGATGGGCACACACCAGTCATAAATATTGCGCTTATTATTATTGCTATAGCTGTCAATTAGTGGTTTGGTGGCTTGATAGATGTTACTATTTAGTGCATTTCAAGGACTATGAGAATTTGTGAAGTATTAGAACGGAGATAATACTACAGTAAGGTAGCCCGCCCTACGGGGAGATCGGAGCAAAACCCCATAAGCGCCAATACAAGCCTCATCATATATAAGAAGAGCAACTAAGTCTAGTTAAAAAAAAGATGTACGTGGCATTCTGAAAGATGAGAGAGAGAAAGAGAGAGAGAGATTGATCTATTATCGGAGCCGAACAAATTCGATTTGGTCGGACAGAGTTACATCACTCAAAACTATTAAGTATGAAGTAAAATGTCTCTGATTCTGGGTAACTGGGGGGTTACCAAATTTTAACGCGTAGTTCAAGACATAATGAATCGATGATGGGGTTGGGAAAGTTGTAGGTAGCTTGAAGCAAATAAATCAGATATCACTATTGTGTTGGTCAGTTTCGGCTTGCGTAAAGCTACTGAAAATATGTATTAGCTATGGGATAGAAAAGCTATTCTGAACGATTAGCAATAGACAGTGGTATATATGGATACGTACTGAAATTCAGTTGGTTTAGCATTGTTGGAATTGATTAATTTCAGTTCTCAAAAAAATTGGAAGAAAAATAGACATGATTATTACTTGAATGCATGTGTACATATACCTAAGCTATAACTAACTATAGGAAAACTATTTAAAAATAAAATATAACAGAGGAAGACCGCAGAAATAATAAAAAGGTAATTTTATATATATATATATATATATATATATATATATATATATATATGCAATGGATAGGATAGAGGATGCATATATATTAAGGAACAATAATAATTATGATCGTAAGAGTAATAAAGCTAATTATTATAGGAATTTATAGGAAGCCAAAGTTACGAGCTATAACTAGTGCAACCAGCAGCTGCTCGACAAAGATTAAATCTTCCCAACGTGCGATAAAAGTTGTGCCCCGTCTGAAAATAAAATGACAAAGCTCATTTAAATCTAAAAAATATCGTCGAAAAAATCTTACCATGGTGAAATAGGTAAACGAAATACGAATTGGTAGAGTAAAACGTGATATATCTGGTGAACGCCGCGAGAGGTGAAGTAATTATATAATAATAAAGACAGATTTGTTGACCGAAAAGAGAAAACGCGTAATGCAAAAGGAAACGAAAACCATATATATGCATAGTTATTAAATAATAAAAAATATATATATTAGTTATGTGTGCGGAGTTATAATATGAGAAATGTATATGTAAGGCAAGAGACGTACTGCGGTCAATCCCGACGTGAACGATGTGAAAATGACAGGGATGGTAAATAGCAAGGATCGGTTTTCCCTGGCTGCGATTGGCTTAGAATTATGTAGAAACAACAGAACAGAATGGCCGTACGAGCCTTAGGCAGCAAAATTAGAAAAAAGGCGATTCGAAGTGTTAGAAAATGCTGAGAAGGACACCGATGTAGGTATCTACGAGCAGAAGTAGCACAAAGTCAGCGCAAAGGCAGTTAAAATTTACTTAATCATGATTGATATGACAGTGATGGTGACATTCAAGGCATCAATAATAGTACTAATAAAATGAGCAAAAAGAACACGGGACATCTGTGTTATAACTGAAAAACTAATTAATGACATACGCCTGTAATTTCTCAAGGTCTTTGATGTTAAGTATAGTATAGATTACTAGCTGATGAGGTTAAAAACAGGTTTTTTGTTACGACACCGTCAACCATAATGTGCGACGATGCCAAACCATAGCGTTTAGAAGTGTCGATATTTTTATGGATGATAGGCCTTGTCCAAGAGGTGCAAACGTAACCACCAACATTATTATATGAAAACCGATTAAATAATTAGAGTACCTAATCGTATAGAATTATAATATGACATTAAGAGCATTTGATGTTATAATATATTAGTTTGCTTAAAATAACGCTGAGATTAGCAAAGCATACTCAGAAAGTCTAACTAATGGTAATCAAACTGAACTTCTGGGTTTGTAGGTAAGAGATATTACAAGTTAGTCCATGCTGGTAAGTAGTATCACAGTGTAATTCTAGTTGGCGACCTTCAGAAGATCTGGCTTGAGTCACGTTGGTGGTAATTAAAGCTGTTAGTAATTTCTAAGAACTGTGTCAAGTTAAAGGAGTATCTGTTGATAATAAATGTTCTTACTATGATAATCTCGACGATAGAGTTGATTTGAGGGTAGATTGAGTGGCTCGAGGTGGTAAATATATTAAAAAATAGCACAACCTGTTTAGTGCTAAGACGTCAAAATAAAATGAGCTATCTTCCTTCCATAACGGAAAAGATAAAGTAACTAAATTATCATTTATAATAAGTGTTGTAAAAGAATATATCATAACGTAAGTATATTCTGGTACAAAACTAAAACTAGCTCAATAACTGAATGGCTAACACGGTCCTCTTATCAACAGAATCTTCTTAAGTGACGTTGATGGTCTGACCATTTTTTAATTGTCCAATAAAGACAGGTTTTACAGCATTGCGCAGCAAAGGTTTTTAACTGAACCAAGTGAAATAGAAAGCCTATCGATCGTGTTATTGGATTTACGTTCTGCCGAGCCTATAGAAAGACAAAATATTTGTGGTTGGGTCGCTTGCAGTCTAGGTATTTACCATTTTGCATCTGGCATCGTAGCTATCAAGCTATGATGGCAGATCCAAAAACCCTTTTGCGGCTAAAGTAATAAAAAACTGCTAAGAAACAGTTTTCTAATGTTTTAACAGTATAAAAAAATACGGACACCCATCCTAACATAAAACGAGTCTCATAATACGTTACTTAGACCTTAATGTGCTATATTGTAATGTATGCCTAGATCTATTATTTTATAATAAATTGTAGTTTTTAACAATTCTCAGAACAGTTGAGTATATGTGGCTACAATATATTTAAAAAAAAGTTTCGACCCTGGGACAAATGGAAGGGCATTTGTGAGGCTTGTTGACAATAGTGTAAACAAGTACCATCGTCATTCTTAGCGTCAGTGTTTCTGACCCTTTACTGCTATTTTCGTCGTTCCAGACTTTGATCACTAATCGAAGTATTAATAATTATTATCACTAATATATTCTATATTAGTTATACATAATCCTAATGGCTCTCAGAGCACCCTGTGTCGGTTCCACTCAGTCAAACCATCCAATTGTAAATGGCGACACCCAACCGTGAACCAGACCGCAGAATATGTCAGCTAAAAAGCGGTAGTAGCGAACGTATTGTTATTACTTAAAGGTAGATAGCATTATGTCTGGGGTAGTGTGGTGATGGAGTCATTATGATAGCGGTGGAGTAGGGCTGGTCATTAAATGTCCTATGTTCCTATATACGAAAATATGCCCCACTTGTCAGGATGGCTCAGCTAAGACGGCGTCTTGCCTTCACGGCTCCGCGCCTTGAGGTAGGATTATTTATGTTATATTACTGCACTACTATCCTCGTCACGGTGCAATGGGAACACCCTTGCCTAGTAAACCAAGGGACATGTGAGGTTTAAGTTCGATACCGAGGGTAGACACATTTCATTTCGTGCCTGGAGCGAGCCGTGTAAAGCACTGCCTAACGGCAGTTCCGGACGTACAAATCGAAGCTTTTAGTACTAAACTACTACATACTTCAACTTAATCGCCATATATATTACATGGTCCCACTGAATCGAATGTCTAGCCGTCATCCTGACCGACAATTTGTATTCAGACGCCCATATTTCTACACTCCAGCTGATGACAGAAGGTTAAATTCCATTTGACTTCTTGCCGAAGTCGACTGTGATGCTGATGATGGTTTCATGGGTTCGTGGCTATAAGCAGCAGTGTTACTGAAGCATTGTGTCTCTAGAAACGAGCATACGGGTGAACGTGTGTGTGTGTGTGTGTGTATTTGTGAATGATGAAGCAAATGAGGTTAAAATTAATTCAGAACCTCTCGTACGTGGCTAAATAAGTTATCTCAGTGAATCTTCGTGCACAAGCTGTTTTATTAAATATTTAGTATTTAGTATAATAGAAGCAGTAAAATTCAGTATTTCTTATTGAAACCGATCGGTAGTATTTTTCAGTTTTATTTTATATTTTTAACTGTGGAATCCACATGCTAATCGTCCTAATGCTAATAATATTTTGATCATTTGTACAAACCGACTTATCCAGTCGATGAACAGGAGTCGCTAGTGTTATTAAAATAAGGCACAAACCGTACCTGTAGCATCAGCCAATCATGAGATGAGATTAGTGAGCTAGGTGAGCTCCCAATAAAGGATCAATTTCAATGGTGTTTCGCAGCGTTAGCTGTTGTCAAGTGTTAAGGAACTTCGGCAGCGAACTTCTAGAAGCAGGATATGATAATGATTCACCTATAACACGCTCAGTAAATACTGCGATTCCGCCTGCAGCATTTATGTATTTCTTAACCCGATCAACTAAATGTTCATGAATAGCGATGAATGCTGATACGTTGACAGTCACTTAAGACTTTTCGCAATGTATAAGCAATACACTGTTTTTGAAGTTTCCAAACTCCTGTAATAAATGGTCAAATCAGCTGTGAAATATAATTGACTAAAGATTAATGGCAATGAAGAGAAAACATTAGTATGCATACTTAATTATCAGTCGATTTATGTTGATAGATTGTCACTTGTGCTCACTAGATGCATCGTGGTTGTAAATATAGGTTGTAGGTTTGCTAAAGATAATTCCGCTGAAAAGACATTTTTGGTTGTGTTAGTAAGAAACGTGGATTCGCTGCAAAGCTACTCTATAGATACTGATTCGTGAGCATTACATTTGCCATCCTTTATCAGAGCTTGTTATGCATATAGATAACAAAATTCCTGTAACATATCGTCATATTTACCGTATTTTGGCGTGACACTGAGTGGAGTTTAGTGGCGTTGTTGCCACGGCCATAAAACGTGGCCGCAACGCGCGTAAAGGAAGAGCGGATGAATAAAGTATTTACCACTTTATAGGCAAATCTGCCTTCCGCATTTTGTGATCCATGAAGACGGACACCATAACTCTGTGATCATATCTCTCTGTCTTATCGTATTTAACTGTTATAAATCGAAGACTCATGGACTTGATGTAGTTCACTGTACAGCGGATTGTAGGATAAGTTGAGTTGTAGATGGGACTAAATGCACTA